GAAAAGAAACATTGCAAATGAGTGAGCCGAAGTCCCCAGGGTTTTTTCAGGACTGGGGACAGTTTGTAGTCCCACCAGTCAGCATGGAAAGATCTCATAGTACACAAGGCATTGGGTAGAATCCTCAAAAAAAAAATTGCCTTAGTAGTGGGGCCAAATCATCCCTATCAAGACTGCTTTGGACCAGCCCTTCCAAAGGGTCAAGCTGATTCCAAGTAATTTATGCACTTAAAAAACAAACTCAACACTATCTAAAGGAATACAACAAAACCCACAGCAACCAAATACATAAAATTCACAATACCCAGCTCCAATTAAAAAAAAAAAAAATACAAGCAATGCAAAGAAGCTGGGCAAGTGACTCACATAACCAAGAGAAAAATAAACCAACAGAAAGACACACAGAAATGACAGAGGATGGAACTAGAAGATAAGGTTATAAAAATACCTACTATAACAAGTTCTAGAAGTTCAAGGAAGCAGAAGAAAATATTATCATGATGGGGAGATAAACTGGAGACATAAACAAGACCCAAATGGAACTTTTGAAGATGAAAAATATAGTATCTGAAATGAAAAATATATTGGGTGAGATTAACAGATTAAACACTGCAAAAGAAAAGATTAATACTGGAAGACATAGTAATAAAAATTATTAAAAATGAGACAGGGAAAAAACTGAAAAAATAAAAAGGAACACAGCATCAGTAGCTTGTGGGACACATTCAAGCAACCAAACATAGTTATAACTGTAGTCCCAGAAGAGCAGAGAGAGAACAGAAAAAATATTTGGAGAAATAACAGCAGAAAAAGTTCCCAACTTAATAAAAACTATAAACCCACAGATCCAAAAAGGTCAACAATCCCTAACCAAAATAAACATAAAGAAAATTATTCCAGGGAATATTGTAATAAACTTGCTAAAAAGCAATGGAAAGAGAATAAAAAGTCAGAAAACAAAAGACATGTTTAGAGGAATAAAGATAAGAATGACACCAGATTTATAATTACACATGATGAAAGATAATGCAGAGACATTACTGCAGTACTGAAAGAATAAAGTGTCAATCTAGAATTTTTTACCCAGAGAAGTCTCTTTCTAAGTTGAAGGCAAAATAAAAGCTTACAGAATTCATCACCAGCAGATCTATCCTATGAGAAATGTTAAAGAAAGTTTTTTAGGCAGAAGGAAAATGATAGCAGATAGAAATCTGGATCTACACAAAAGAAATGAAGAGCATAGAAATGATATATTTGGTATATCTGAGTAACAATAAAAGACATTTTTGCCAATTTAAAGCAAAAGTTATAGCAGCATATTGTGAGATTTACAGCCTAAATAAAACATATGACAAAAACAGCATGAAGTATGAGAGGGCAAAATGAAAGTATACTGTTGTAAAGATTCTTGCATTATACATGAAGTGGCATAATATTATATGAAGGTAGGCTGTGAAATTTAAAGATGTATACTGGAACGCCCAGAGCAACTACTAGCAAAAAAAGTTAATAAGGCAATAGTGAAAATAAAATGGAATGATTTAAAAAATTAATCTAAAAAGAAGGCATGAAAAGAGGAAAAAATGAACAAAAAATAGGTGGGATACATAGAGAAAAAATAGCAAGATAGGAGATATAAATTTTGACCATACCAATAATTACATTAAATGTAACAGTTTCAGCATCCCAGTTAAAACACATATTGTCAGACCCAACCATATGCTATCTATAAGAAACCCACTTTAAACGTAAAGAAACAAACAGGTTAAAAGTAAAAGATTTAAAAAAGATATAGCATGCAGACTTTAATCAAAAGAAAGTTGGAATGAACACATTTGTATTGGACAAAGTAGACTTCAGTATAGGGAATATTACTAGAGATAAAGAGAGACGTTTCATAATGGTAAAAAGTCTCAATTCATCAAGAGCATATAACAATACTAAGTATGTCTAAACCTAATATCAGCGCTTCAAAACGTGCAGCAAAAAAGTGATAGTGGTGACAGAAGAAACACAGGTGGAGAGTTCAACATTCCTCTCTCAGTAGTTGATAGAACAAGTAGACAGAAATCAGGAAGAATACAGAAGACCTGAACAACACTATCAACCAACTTGACCTAATTGACATTTATAGAACACTCCACTGACAACAGTAGAACATTTCATTCTTCTAAAGTACGCATAAAACATTCACTGCAGCAGACCATATTCTGGACCATAAATCAAATAGATTAAAATTATACAGGGTATGTTCTCTGACCACAACAGAATTAAACTGAATATCAATAATAGAAAGAATATCTGGAAAATCCTAAATACCTGGAAAATAACATACTTCTAAATAATCAATGGACCAAAAAAGAATTCACAAGGGGAACTAGAAAATATTTTTAACTGAATGAAAATGAAAATACAACATCTCAAAATTGGTGAAAATACAGCTCAACAAAACAAAGCAAAAATGAACAGGATCCATTAAAAAATTTATCTTAGAGCATATTTTAGCTAAACTGAATCTATCTGATAATTAGGCAATGATTAAATATGGTTGTTTTTATTTATTGTTATGTGAAAGGGCTTAATCCACCAATGTTAATTGAGACTCTCCTTTAAAACAAAGGACGTACAAAGAAAGAAAGTACAGAGTGCCTCGATCTACCAGGAAAAATTAAGTTCTGTACTCAAACTTCAAAGTCAAGCAGAGGAGACACCAGGAGTATGTAACTGAAACCAGCACCACCCTGACAGGATGATCCCTGACAGGCTGACGGGCAGGCTGTGTGGAAGCAGAAGCACGTGGCTCAGACCCGGGGCCTGGATGGATACAACTATGCTAGTGCAAATGGGGTGCTAGGCAAGGGCCCAGCATGACCAAAGGCAGAATGCAGAGATGCCAGGAAGCAGGGCCAGTGAGCAACCGTTAATGCAATTTCATCACAATGCAGGCATTGCATGGGGAAGCTTGGGACTTAGTTGTGAGGGTCTGGAGTAACCCACACACTAGACCTGGAGACAGAAGGCCTCGGTTTGAGTCATGGATCTACTATGAACAACGTGACCATTTCTCCCCTTTGCTGAAGCGCACTTTCTTACTCTGTGGACTGAAACCACCCCTGGCTGTCCCTCAGAGCTGCCGTGGGAACAACTGTGTCATATACACAGGGAAGTGTTGGGTCGATATAAAGACAGTGGGGAGGTACTAGAGGCTGTGGGGAGCAGGAAGGTGGCTGAGTGACCCAGGGGCTGAAGGAAGAGGAATGACACCCTAGTGATGTGAGCGCTGGGTAAGAAGTGAAAGAATGTGGACATGAGGCTACCAGAAGAGTGCTGGTAAGGAGAAGCACGGCCTCCACTGGTGAGGCTGCAGTGGAGGCATCAAGAAAAAGGTGGCCAAAGGAGCACTCATGAGATGGGCCAGGGTGACTGCCCCAGAATGGGACGGAAGCCAGGGAGGAGTAAAGCAGAACCTGGATCTAAAGCACATTGAATATCTGGGAGAACTGTGACCCCCCAATCAAGGAAGTTAGAAAATAGAGGTGATTTGAGTAGAGAAGGTATGATGTTTCCAAATGAATTTCTGCCCATACTATAAGAAACAGCTGACTTTGGGAGGAAAAAAAAAAACTCATGAAATAAACTATTTAATCCTAGAAACCAGTTAACTATTTTAAAAACATTTAGCAAAAAAAGCATCTGACAAATAACTTCCCTTTTCTTTTTTTAACCTCAAACTCCTGTTCTTAAGCAATCCTCTCACCTCAGCCTCCTGAGTAGCTAGAACTACAGGCATCATATCTGGCTAATTTTTAAATTTATTTTTTATAGAGACAGGGTCTCAGTATGTTACCCAGTCTGGTCTCAAACTTCTGGCTTTAAGTGATCTTCCTGCCTCAGCTTCCTAAAGTGCTGGGGTTACAGGTATGAGCCACTGTGTATGGCCTGGCATGTAACTTTTATATACTATTATGTAAATGCCATTTTATCATACACTGTATCTGAATTTTACCTCATCATTTTTAACATCAATAGATTGCTATGCATGGTGTGATTTTACTAGAAGGCTGTAATAATGGGAAAACGCATGAATGAGGGCACCACAGAGAACGTTATTGCAAGATGTATCAAAATTCACTATCAAATAAACCTTTGGTGCTGAACTGGCAGAGCCAAAGAGAGTAAAAAGTGGAAAAAATCAATATGGTGGCAAGGAAAAAAGAATCATTTGTCACTGAGTTCTCTGCCTTAAAAAAAAAAATCATTAAAAAAAATGCAATCAAACAAGAAAGCCTAGTCACCTGAATCCACTAAACAAACAGACTTAACAGAAAACATCATTTCAGAATAAACTATAATTGTATGGGATATAGATTTTGTTTGAATTGAGTATGATGCCATCTGGTGCTTCAAAATTCACTATGTGTGGTGGCTAGGCTGAAAAGTAAGACTTTTATTTCACTCCAAGGGAACCACTTTCACATACTTCGACTTGACTCACTACGTGAGAAACAGGGTAATTGCTTTTCAAAATGATGATTAGAAAAATACATTTGAGTAATGTTCACTGAAAGTAGTTTAGGTCTAAAATTCACATGATTTCTAAATACAATAATAGCACCCGGGGTGAATCTGAATTAGATATGATTAGCTTATTCTAGTAAACTCAACAGGAGAAGGTTTGTTGTTCTGTGAGAAGGAAAGCTTTTCCAAGCTTATCTAAGAGACATTTAAGACAGTGTGTGTTGCATGCCCATGTTACTTCTAAGCCAATTGCAAGAGCCAGTAAACGTCTGCCACTAGAGCTTTTTGCTGACTTACAAAATGTTTGCCCAGAATCAAACTTCGTTTTCAAAAGCATACATGTAGAAAGAAATACTAACTAGCATCCTGGGAGTAACTTATTCAAGATTTTTTGCTGTGGCATGTAAAAACGAACCTCAAAAGGCAATTTTAAAAGGGGAGGGAAAAGAGGGAAACATCTGGATAGGCTCCAGAGAACTCACCCGTGCAAAGTCAAACGCATATCTGTAAATAAGTTTAAAGTTTGTAGAATCATTTAAGAATGATCTTAAGTAATCCAAAGTATTTCTGAGTTTTTCTGTTGTATCACATCTAGAAAAACAAAATAAAAGCAAATTATGAACTGAGTTCATTTATTAATTTTTTTAATTGAGGCAGTAAGATAAACCCAATACCAAAGGAAAGAACAAACCCTGAAGTTGAAACCCATCCATAATCTATTTTTTCTACACTTAAAAAATTTTTAAATGTACAGAAAAGTTGAAAGAATAGTAAATAACCACTCATATACTATCCCCTTGATCCAGCAATTAACTTTTCTTCTATTTATGCACTCTCTCTCATATATGTATACATTTTCTATACCATTTAAAAGTTGCAAACACAATGAAACTTCATCCCTAAACACTTCAAAACCATCATCAGTCTTACTACTGTATCAATGTTAACTTTCTTAGCTGATATACAATCCATATGCAAATTTCCCAGTTATTCCCCAATTTCTTTTATAGCTGTTTTCAACCAGGAACCAATCAAGGACCATGCACTGCTTTTAGCTGTCATATTTCCTTAGTCTCTAGAAGAGTGCCCTGCCTTTTTCTTTCTGGAGACCAGACCACTTGCTTTTGCAGAATGTCCATCTGTCAGATAATTTCCCTATGATTATATTAGATCCAACACTTCCAACACTATATATGATCATAGGGAAATCATAATTTCCCTATGATTATATTAGATCCAACAACATTATTCATCATGTCTGTCTATCCCTGTCCCATTACTGGATTCCTATTGTTACGGTGGTGTCTACCATTTTCCACTGAAAAGCAATTCTTCCTCTTTGAAATAGTAAGTATCTACAGGATGATCCCTTGAGACTATAAATGTCCAGTCCTAACAACCTTTCACTCAATGTGTATTGTACACTACTTAAACTTCCTATTTTCCTCCTGCCTCAATATTCCCACAAATAAGCAATGAACATCCTATCCAGGAGACCAGGTCCACTAGTGATAAGTCTGCCCCCTGCCACAAGGTCCCCTTCTTGCCCTCCCCTGACTATGACTGAGTGACATCCACACCCACCAATCTGACATCCAGGGAAGGAACTTGCCCATGGGTCCTCACTCTCTCTAGGTTCCCCACCTGCTTAGCAGAGTACCCACTCCCTGGGAGCGTCTCCCATATAGCTCCTTGTGGCATGCCATGCTTCCCTCTCTAGAACCTGAGAAGAAAATAAATCCTTTAATCTCCTATGCCTCTCCCAGTGGAAGTTCTGTGGCCATGCTGGAATGATCTTTAAAGACCTCACAAGGAGGACATACTCCTGACAACACACAATGCTTATAGCATCCATTGGTGATACCTGCCTGAATCAGTAACATCTGAAGATCCAAGATGGTGATTTTCTAATCCTATCATTCCTTTTACATTTATTGGCTATAATTCTTCTATAAAGAAGAGCTCCACACGTGACCTTCTTATTTTCTGGACTTAGGATTTTTTGCGTTTAATTCAGTGTGTTATAATCTGTTACTGTCATTATTCTTTTTGATTGTACAAACTTTCCCCATTTGGGCAGTAGCCCCCTAAAGCTGGTTCTAGTTTCCTTCTGACATGTCCCCGCCAAGTCTCTGAGCATTACCTTACTTTCTGGCACAAGATGTTCCAGCTCACTCTGTTCTTACCCTATTCCAGACTTGAAATCAGCCATTTCTCCAGGGAGCCTTGGTGGTGATAATCTGTTTTTACCAGTAAGTGATACAGTGTTTACTTTTCATAAGCAAGCAGACTTACTGGCTTTTTACAAACTAATTTTCTGTTTGCAATATCTAGCCCTTAAAAACGAGAATCAAGAGCCACCATTTTCACCAGCAATATTAAAGATTTTCAATGCTGAATATGTATTGTTTCTCTATTATAGATCTTTAATCTACTAAGTACAGATAATACATATACCAAGTATTATCAATGTTTTATATACTGTATAAACTAAAATGGTTCATAATAGAGCACACTAATCTATTTTTAAAAACAAACCTGTTTTTAAAATCTGCTGCTTCTTTGTACCTAACTACAAATAAATCCTTATGATCTCTTTGTTGAGATGATAAACTATCTAAGAGCCTGCAATTAGGCTAAATGTTTAATTTCTATGAAACAGAACAATTTAGAAAGTCCTTTATTTCTTCCTAATGTGAAAAGTAAAAAAGATTAAAATTGGGTTATTTTAGAGTCGGAAAACACTTCTTCAAGAGAATGACACATAAGCTAAGAGTTGAGAGATAAGCAGGAACTAGATATTTTGGAGAGGTGGGAAAGGCTCTCTGTCTATTAGGAACAGCATATGCAAAGGCCCAGAAGCAGATGGGAGTATGGTTTAAGTCCAACAGACTAAAAGACAGCCACTGTGGCTGGAGGGTATAGAGGAAGATGGAAAGAGGTATAAGATGATGCTGAGAGGAATACAGGGTCAGGCTCATAAAGGGCTTTTGTAGTCCAGAGTGAGGGTTTTTAAAATTACATCCTAGGAACAAAGGAGGGCACCTGCCACTATGAGAAAGACCATGATCAGGGCTGCATCTTGACAAGCTCACTCTTGATCTCCATGGAGAAGGACTGGGGGGAAGGAAAAGAGATATGGAGAGCCAGTTAAGAGATCTAGCGCCAGAATCCCAATAAGGGGGTCACAGGGACTAGAAAGATACACAAGAAAGCAGTAAACAGGAGTTAAGTCTGGAAGGCAGGGCTGAATTTACACTGGGTGCTTCTACTATAGGGTTAGTGTTTTTAATGGTGTGCATATAATAATATAATATTAATAATAATGGTGGAGGGTCACAGAGGAGGGAAACTGGGTAACCCAAAACCATAAGGTCCAGGTCCCTGTTCTTCACTGGAAAGAGGGTCAAGGACCAAAGCCACAGATTTGGCTGGCAGTTTAGTTTAGTTCTGTCGAAGAAGGAAGAAGGAAGAAGGAAGAAGGAAGAAGGAAGAAGGAAGAAGAAGGAAGAAGGAAGAAGGAAGAAGGAAGAAGGAAGAAGAAGGAAGAAGGAAGAAGGAGGAAGAAGGAAGAAGGAAGAAGGAAGAAGAAGGAAGGAGGAAGAAGAAGGAAGGAGGAAGGAGGAGGAAGGAGGAAGGAGGAGGAAGGAGGAGGAAGGAGGAAGGAGGAGGAAGGAGGAGGAAGGAGGAGAAAGGAGGAAGGAGGAAGGAGGAGGAAGGAGGAAGGAGGAAGGAGGAAGGAGGAGGAAGGAGGAGGAAGGAGGAGGAGGGAGGAGGAGGGAGGAGGAAGGAGGAAGGAGGAGGAAGGAGGAAGGAGGAGGAAGGAGGAGAAAGGAGGAGGAAGGAGGAGGAAGGAGGAGGAAGGAGGAGGAAGGAGGAGGAAGGAGGAAAGAGGAGGAAGGAGGGGGGAGGAGGAAGGAGGGGGGAGGAGGAAGGAGGGGGGAGGAGGAAGGAGGGGGGAGGAGGAAGGAGGGGGGAGGAAGGAGGGGGGAGGAGGAAGACGGAAGAAGGAAGAAAGGGAAGAAGAAAGAAGAAGAAAGAAAGGAGGAAGAAGAAAGAAAGGAGGAAGAAGAAAGAAAGGAGGAAGAAGAAGAAGAAGAAAGAAGAGGAAGAAGAGGAAGAAGAAGAAGGAAGAAGAAGGAAGAAGAAGGAAGAAGAAGAAGAAGAAGAAGAAGAAGAAGAAGAAGAAGAAGAAGAAGAAGAAGAAGAAGAAGAAGAAGAAGAAGGAGGAGGAGGAGGAGGAGGAGGAGGAGGAAGAAGAAAGAAGAAAGAAGAAAGAAGAAAGAAGAAAGAAGAAAGAAGAAAGAAGAAAGAAGAAGAACAGTTGTTTGTTTTAACAGATTCAAGAGCAGGAAGCACTAATTTAGATAACTACCCCATAGTTAAAAGAAAATAAAGTTAGCTATAAATCTCCAGGCAGAGCTACTATGAGAAGAAATGTGAAGTTCTGCAGCATGCCTGGGAGCAAGTCCAACACCTTGGTAAAAAGATGTCCCTATGTTTGAAAGATGCTCAGACATCCTGTCTGAAACGCAGGAAATGAACAGTTCTTGTGCTTTACACATAAAATACACAAGTAATATTACTAACTCATGTACCCATTAAAAACCTGGGGTTGGAGCTAATATTGCCAATACAGAGTTTAATCTGCTTTAAAGGGGGTCTTGAACACACAAAGCCCCTGGACTGGCCCCCAATAGTGAAACAGGCCACTGAGTCACCCTGTCCAGAACCACAGGCTGCCATCTAGTGGCCAATAAATATGCACATCTTCAGAGGACTCGGTTCTAACAGAGCCTGACTTGGGACATGTAAGCCACCAACGTGACTTTAGAAAGCAGCCACATCTTCTACTCAAGTCTTCCAACATGTTTCTATGTACCATGTATAAAAAAACTTGTAGAAGTCACAGTGACAGTGCCACGCTTCTAAGGAACACCATTTCCCAACACAAAAAATGCACACAATGTTTTCTTTTTGAGTTTGCTGCTGTAACAGATTTGTAAGGACAGAAATCAACACAGTAATCTTCAAAGTTTATAAAATCAGAGGTAGCTTTCCCCTATTACCCAGGAAAAGGCCTCTGCCCCTTCACTTAGTCATCCCAAAGGTATTTTTCCAGCCCATCATCAGTTTATTGTAGTTACAATTCTCACTTTTTTTTTTAAGTTTAAGCACCACAATTAGCTTAATTCATCAGACCAAAACAGGAGCCGTGTCTTCTCTGGCAGAGGAATGATCTCGGGAGTGCAAGGATAGATGTTCCCTACCAGCTGCCAGCCTAAGACCAAACTCTCACACCACTCACCTCCTGTTCCAGGTTCACAGGCCCTAGGGAAGCCAAGCACACAATTCCTCTGGAGAGCATCAAGGAGATGAATTTTTGAGAGCCCACGCATAAGCCATAAGCTGTACTTCAACAGCCTAGTTTAATGATGCTACCAGAGACACCCAGGAAATGACAGAAATGATTGAAAACTCTGGTTTCACAGCCCATGGGCTTTCTGTTTCTACCACACTCCCACCATACAGTAACTCTTTCTTTTTTCTTTTTTGCAGCATTTTAACTAAATATAATGAATGGTCTGAACGTTTGCATCCTTCCTAAATTTGTAGGTTGAAATCCTCACCCCCAAGATGATGGTATCAAAAAGTGGTGCCTTTGTGAGAGTATTAGGTTCTGGGGGCAGAAACTTCATGAATGAGATTAGTTAAGAGACCCAAGGGAGCTTGTTTGCCCCTTCCAACATGGGAGGACCCAGTTAGAAAGCACCATCTATGAACCAAAAAGCAGGCTCTCACCAGACACCAAATCTATGGCATCTTGGTCTTGAGCTTCTGGGCCTCCAAAGAAAGAAAATTCTGTTGTTTATAAGCCACCCAGTCTAAAACATTCTGTTATAGCTGCCTAAATGGCCTAAGACATGAATATATATAAATAAAGATTTTGTTCTATACTTGTTAATTCCAGTTTGAGATCAAAATATTTCATTAGATAGGTTTCATAAAATCAAAATGAGCAAAAATAGAAAAGAAATCCAAAACAGAAGACAAAATAGTTTAAAAGATAGATTACTTTCTGCCTTTAGAGCATGTAAACGATTACTCTCTGGGTTTTCTTGAGTACTAGGTGCACATACCTCACAAATACAATGCTTATTTAGTTACTTTACTGGCATAAAGATAAGTGACCGTGTTACTTTTAGATCTTTTGCCTGAATATTGTTTATAAGCCCCTCCTAATGGACTTTATCTTACTCATGGTTTTTGTTTCCCTAGGGTCTGGAATACTACACTTGGCATATCACTGTCATTCAAACATTTGCTGAACAAATGACTAATCTAGAAAGGCTGGAAGGTAGGGGTGGGAGGGTAGGCAGAGGTTCTTCAAACTTGAAGTTGGACTATTTTTGAACTACAAAGAAACTTAAAAGTTATTCTGAATAATTGTCTCCACCTCATTGATGAGGACAGCAACCTCAGAGTTTCACATCACAAAAAGCAAGCAATTCCTCCATGTCTTTATAGTGGATCAGGCTTGTCACTAAACTCCGAATTGCAAGGATCAAGTGGCAATCACCCTGAGAACCCACCTGCCACCACCTGCATCATACAAAGTGGCAAGCAAGGTTCCCAACAAACAGCCTGAAGGAGTACCCTGCACTCAGAACGCGGACACAGACCTCTTCCAGGAAATTGCTTCTCACTTCCCAGGAGACATGGCCCTCAAAACACATGGGCAAGGTCTGGTATCAGGTAATATTCTTTTGCAGAGGGACATTCTTTTGTAAAGAACTTAGTACTATACAAACTGGGTATCACACCTTCTTAAGACAAATAAAAATGGGCCTGAAAATGTTGATGGTGCCTCGTCTGAAGGCTGGAAATAAAATCCTGATATGCCCATGCATTCATCATCACAAGGACACTTTAAAATGGAGCCATCGGCTGCTCTACTCAGCAATGATGGCCAGGCACGGTGGCTTACGCCTGTAATCCCAACACTTTGGGAGGCTGAGGTGGGCAGATCACTTGAGATCAGGAATTCGAGCCTAGCCAACATGGCGAAACCCCATCTCTACTATAAATACAAAAATCAGCCGGGTGTGGTGGTGCCCTCTTGTAATCCCAGCTACTCGGGAGGCTGGGGCACAAGAATCACTTGAACTCAGGAGGCGGAGGTTGCTGTGAGCCAAGAGCACGCCACTGCACTCCAACCTGGGTGACAGAGGGACATTCCGTCTCAAAAAAAAAAAA